GGTTCGCTCGGCGTCTTAAGGTCGTTATTAAAGTAGTGACTAGGTTATTTAGTACTTGGGCGTTTGTTCTGTTTAGCCAAATGGTTTTCAGGGGGTAAGGATGTCAGAGAGAACGGGACACTGTCAGAAACAAATCAATGACGTTCAGAGTTAAGGACGGTAGTTTTATGATACAAACTTTTGAAAAAAAGAATCCTCTTTATTCTTTCCAAATAAAGAAGCATACACATAGATACTGTAAACAGGATGACCCACTACTCAGCTTTTATCATCTTTTTTAATGATAAAATTATGGACCTTCATTATAGCAAATCTCAGACGTTTCTGAAAAAATACCCCCGTCCACAGCAAACTGGTGCCGAAGCCTCGTTAGCAGCTCTCTGGATCTCAGAAACAGAAACAGAAACAGAGCTGCCGTGCTAACAGTGCCCACAAGTTCTCAGGCAAGGCATCTGGGCAGCCGCAGCCGGTGTAACTCATCACAGCATCCGCAGACCCCGGTTTCAGACACTGGCTCCTCAGTCCTGTTGCAGGAGCCCCAAGGAAGCTCAGTCTCACCCCCACACCGAGATGCCGGCCATGGAAGGCCAGGGCACCTGTGTGATCCAGAACAGGAAACTTCCCTGCAGAAAGGATCTGGTTCTGAGACAGGCTAATTCCCCAACTGTTGGGTTTCTTTGCTGACTAAACCATTTTTTCCAAACTGAATGTGTTGCTTATCTTAATCACCTTACCTCCAAGTACAGGGTTGGGTGTGGAAAGAGGAGGAGGACGAGGGGGAGGACGAGGGGAAGGAGAGGAAAAGTCCGGAGGAGACAGAAATGCTGATACCATTTCTTCTAGTCAACCCAAGGATGACTTATTTCAGCCCATTTCTCAATAGGACAATGGGGGGGGGGGGGTTAATGATATACTTCTGCAGATAAATGCATTGCATCATTTTTTAAGTAACTGCAAAAAGGCTCAAAAATTACCAAGTACGTTAAGGCAAGGCCTCTGGCTTTCAACAACCTCCTATCTCCTGCTGATCCTTTCAACCTGTGTATTCATGTTTCCTCGGGCTGTGCCATGGCTTTGCTTACCTGTATCTACAACTTCAGGTGCTCCCATGCTTTAAACAGATACAACACAGGATTAGACACATTCATCAACAAATGCCAACTCTGCCTCTCTACACATAACCCTGCCTCCACTTCTCTCCTCACCACATAATTCTGGAAGGGCAATTTTTTTTCCATCCTCTTGGGTGTAAGGAAAACGGTCCATCTTCCTTATTTACCCCATTCTCAGCAACGACTCGGAGGCCAGTGGCGTTCGTCATCACAACAAATGGAAAAGCCATTGCCCTCCACATCTAACAGGACACGAAGAGAGACCTCTTGGAGCCTTTTAAAAGAACAAACAAAAAAAGCTCGGCTCACAAGACACACGCTCACCTTTCGTCATCCATCTCCAGGCTGGACTCGCTCTCGGACAGCTGTCGACAGAGGGCTTCTCTCCTCTCCATCTCCCTCTGCAGCTTCCTCTGCAGCCTCAGGTTCTCCTCCCTCATGTGACGCTCCTCTTCCAGGTACTGCGCCATCTTCTCCGAGTCTGCAAAGCCAGGTTCGCAATGAGACCATGTCTCGGGCAGCCACGCACGAACCCTAACAGAGAACACGGCAGTCCAGCTCCTGGGCCGTAGGCCGTAGACCAGAACGGTTTCAAGACAGGCGTTCTCCCTCTCGCACACTTGAAGTTTGGATTTCAAGTTTACCCCATGTACCCAAGTCTACCCACCACCTGCATTTAGAAAAAAATACAAAAAGCAGCACTGGGAGTTTGGGCATCTCCACTCCCCCCTCCTGGCCTTCTAAAGTGCCTGCCGTGGAGGAGGGGCCGGTCAGGGCAACGCTGCAGCCCACGGCTCCCCGCTGGGCAATTCTGCTGCCCCCCACTCCAGACAGGGGTGGCAGTCGCCAACGGGAGCCTGTCACACCTGTCAGCACACCCACGGCACGGTGGTGGAGGGCACTGGGAACCACTGTGCTTCCACACGCTGGGTAATAGTTACCATTCTTTTTTTAAAAGTAGAAATTGACATAGTAAACACCTTGCACGTTTCAAACAAATCTAATTTTTGGTGTGTGTGTGTGAGTTTCAGAGCAGGTAAAGACCTGTATGCAGCCAAGCTCCCGGGATGGCACCTTGACCATGACAAACGCCCCTTCTCAGGAGCTGCACCGTCCAGGGCTGGGCAACAGCAGGCTTCCAGCCGGGAGCACATGAACCAGCATTTACTCCTGTGCTACTACTCGTCCTTAGTGCAGTATTCATTGGGATTACAGCTGTACACTTACTGCCGCCCACCCCTGCAGGCCGAGGCCGCCACCGCAGCACCCACCTCCCAGGCCAGAGCTATCGAACCCCAGGGCAGACACCGGACCCAGGCCGGGCAGTTGGATGCTCTCCCCAGAAGCTGGGATGCAGAACTGACATCGTCGTGAGGCTCTCGAACCTCCTTCTGCTGAGCTGGACTGCAAGCCCGGCGCTGAGGTTGTTCCAGCAGGATGTGGGCACACTCCAGACCGCCCCAGTGAATGGCATCGCATGACCCCCACTCCTTTTCTGGTTCGGCTCAGCCAGAGTCTATGGTTACTAAGTAAACAAAATAACCTTCACACGAAACTCAGTGTCTACCCATCTTCCTGCTTCTTCCTTTTCCCTGTCTTAGTCATGAATTTGAGAAAGAAGTAAAATCTCGACAAAAAGTAACATCTACTTCTCTATTCCGAAAAAGAGACACACAGCCCGAGCGGCCTGATCATGTCTGACAGACAGTTCTACAGGTGACTATCCATGTTTCCGGCTCATTCCAAATTCAAGAAGGAAGGAGCCGAATGCCACACTGGCCATCTCTCTCCCACACACTGACCCTGTTTCAACTCCCAAGTCCACCAAGTTAGTCTGTGTGAACAACCCTGGGAAGGTCTGGTGTTTTAGCAACTAATGACTTTGGATGATAAATACTTGATTTCTAAGACATCACCATTACAGAATATATAAAAAGCTCTTGAATATCCTTATTTTAGAAATTCAAATACCAGAATTAATAAGCACTATTATGTACACCAAACACTAAAGCCTTTTGCTGTTTTCAATATAATCAAAACCCTGCTGTTTAATCCAGTTGCAAAAGTCTCTTTAATTGAAGGCATGCTGGGAAAATATTTAGAAAGCACACTTTTAATATACACGATTTAAATGATTTCATCCCAAGCATGCACGTGTGCAGCACTTTCCACTGGCTTCACAGGAAGCAGTAGGTTGGCCCCCTGGAGCACTTATTATTCCCAGAACCAGAAGGGCGGCTGTCCAAGCAAGTTGCCTTTCTTTTCCATAATAGGAAGGAAAGCTTTGCAGAGCTGAGGACTCATGAGGCTTCAGGAATAATCAGTTACGAGGAAAGACAGTTTTTCAAAGGAAATGACAGTCCTTTCACATCTGGGGCTATCAGCAGGGGGAATCCTTAAACAATAATCTACATAGACAAGAAAGCCGGTCAGCCAGAGTGATGGCTGGAAGACTTCCTGGCCGCTCAGCAATCAACAGAGAAGCCACATGCACAGAGAAGGCACCAGCCGGGCCCAGCACCTCTGGGTGTTTCGGACTCAGGCCAGAGAGATGGCATACCTTGGGTGCCCTCTGCTGGCACACCGCCACACCCGAGTTCAAGAGACCAGGCTTACTCCCAGGAGTCAGCTCTGAACCTTCTCTCACACAGAGCCCCCGACGACGTTGGGGCCACAGCTTGGGCTTCCCCTGTCTTCAACCATCTTGCAGTATTTAGTCCAAGATAGAGTCAACTGAGGGTGACTTCCAGTCAGAGTCCAAAGAGGTGGTTCCCAAATGTCCCAAAGGTAACCAACCCATTTTGCGTTCCCTTTCAAGTTTATGGTTAGAAAACACCGATGCCCAGCCCTGGCCGGTTTGGCTCAGCGGTTAGAGCGTCGGCCTGCGGTCCTGAGAGACCCGGGTTCGGTTCCCGCTAAGGGCATGTACCTCGGTTGCAGTTTGTCCCCGGCCCTGGTCGGTTGTGCGGGTGGCAGCCACTCGATGTGTCCCTTTCACATCGATGTTTCTCTCTCTCTCTCTCTGTTCCTCTCTCTCCCTCCCACTCTACCTGAACAAAAAATGGAAAAATGTCCTCGGGTGAGGATTAAAAAAAAAAAAACAGAAAACACCGATGCCCAGATCCCACCCAAATCAATAAATCAGAATCCTTGAGAAGGAGGCCCTCTCCACTGGTATATTAAAATCTCCCGATGGGATTCCAATGTTCAGCCAGAACTGAGAGGTTTTATTGGGTGAGAGCTTCAAGTTCAGAGACAGTTGGACTTGGAGGCTAAGGGTGAGGTAGGTGCATGAGAAAAAGTCATAACTCATCCTCTAAACCCAATCCAAACCTACTGTGAGTTCGGCTTTCTGTCCTCACAAAATCAGAACAGCACCGCTGGGAGCCACTGCTGGGAGCCGCCGTCTCTTGAAGACTAAACAGTGCAGTAGGAAGAAGGTAATGGAATGAGAAAGTCTTCCCAAATTTCTTCTTAAAATTTTGTCGGGGGCACAAAGCCAACTGTACATGAGCAAGAACAATGCACGACAATGGCCGTGGAAAGAATCAGGTGCTAAAAGACATTTATCTGCCTAACACAGCAAAAACTCAAAACACATCCTAAAACAACTCATATTTGAGAATTCCTTGACTTGTTTTCATGGAATATATACGTAGTGGTTCTCAACTCAGGGTATACGTCAGAATTACCTACATAAAAAAATAGATAAACAAACAACAACAAAAAGGGGACTAGGCTCTACCCCTAGGTAAGGCTAGAAACCTCCACGGGGTTAGACAGACTACAGCCTGTGACTGTCACCTTACATGGCAAAAGGGACCCTGCAGATGTAATTCAGTCACAGACTTTGAGATGGGAACTCATCCTGGATTATCAGGCTGGCTCAGGGTGACCGCAGGTCCTTATAAGGGGGAGGCAGGAGGGTCACTCAGAGGGAACAGGAGGTGGAAGTGATGCCGATGCAAGGAAGGGGCCGTGAGCCAACGCGTGCAGGGTCCTCTGGGCGCTGGAAAAAGCAAAGGGACAGAGTCTCCCGTCGAGCCTTTTCCTGCTCACACCTTGATCTGAGCCCAGGGAGGCCTCTTCCGAACTTCAGACCCTCAGAACTAGAACACAGGCATGGGCAAAAGTAGGCTTACACTTGTTCGTATGGAAAATAACACAATAACTAATAAATAATAACACAAGAATAAACTGTTTCATGAACTCACAACTGTAAAGCTACTTCTGCCCACCCTGTAGAATATACTGCATTGTTTTAAGCTACTAAGAAGCGTGTGGTCTTTTGTTACAGCAGCAACAGAAAATTATCACACTGTCTTTTTAAAAGGTTTTTGGGGCACCATCCCAGATGAACTACTAGAAAATGAATTTTAGAAAAGAAAACAAAGATGAAAATCACCGAAATTGTAAATGTGCATTCCATCTGCCGCATCAAATCCACTTCCTAAAATTTATCTGAAGTTCTTACATAGTTATCAAACATGTGTACAGATATTCATTGTAGTCACAGCCTTACAAACAAAAAGGGTCTATTGGTATGGGACTAGTTAATAAATTATGGTACAACCAAGTAATTGAATACTGACGCTGCCTTTATAAAAGGCAGTAAGGCAGCTCTATATACAGTGGCAAGGAAAAAGTTACAAGACATAGTAAGTGAAAATAGAAAAACACAAAACAGTATGTTCATTTTACCAATATTTGTATTATTAAAGTTCATACATCCTCGGCCAGTGTGGCTCAGTGTTTGAGTGTCAGCTTGTGCACTGAAGGGTCCTGGTCAAGGGCACGTACCTAGGTTGCAGGTTCGATCCCTGGCCCTGTTCAGGGTGTGGGTGGGAGTCAACCAATCATAGTGTCTCTCTCATATGGGTGTTTTTTTCTCTCTCTCAGCCTCCCTCTCTCCCTTCCACTCTCTCCGAAAATCAATGGAAAAAATATTCTCGGGTAAGGATTAACAAAACAAAAAAAAGTTTATACAAACACATGTCTGGAAAAATATATAAAAAATGTGTAATTATGAGAAAGGGACTTATTTTTCCTCTGCATACCTTTCACTACATTACCTATTTGGACAAATAAATTTGAGCCGCCTAAAAGCAGAAATAGGAGAGACCCACAAAAATGCACAATGGTCTCTCCATCAAGTATTCAGAAACCTAGTTCCTTTGACTTCCCCCTCAACACCTCGACCTTTTCCAAAATAATAAGTATAAATTTCAAAAGCATTTATTCAAGAACCATGAACAAATGTGAGCTACGGCTAAAATTTAACAGTAAGGAAGACAAACACTCTAATCTCTGTATTAATGCCCTCAAGATACACTGAGATCTCCTGCAATATTTTGTGAGCACAATCCTAGAGATGAAGGCATGGGAGAAGATTAAAAATATTACCTGTGATTTTGGACTCTCCTGAAATTATTTGAGTAAGTTTTAGGAGTATTCTAAATGGGTTGCACTGCCCTACTACAATAATTTTAAAAAATAATCTATTCCAGGATGACAGGATAAAACTGTACTGGTAATGAAATACAATATGAACGGGAATAATACGAATTAAATCGTACATGCCGGTGAAACCCCGTATACTCTAAGTGGATTAATGCTGTAGGCAGAGGACCAGCGGAACCAGAGGCTACGTACGCTGTAACTGCGCCGCTCTCAGCTGCTTCTTCAGCCTCTCCACTTCGTTCTTCAAAAACCTGATGTGGCGCATCATGTTTTCTGGAGAGTCGATCTCCATGGAGATGTCTCTAGGTGACGGGGGAGCAGAGACTGGCTGGTCTAATTTCTCCTGCAGGATTCTTTATGGAAAAGAAAAAATCCAACAATGAAAACCAGTTTGCCTTTGAAAGACAAGACAATATACTACACAGAGGATTTGTTTTACCAGCAAGCTCCTGTAGTGGGATGAACTGGAGAATGAAGTCACAGGGCTGCTTATCTCCTCTGCCCATTTTCCATCAACTTCTAGCCCCCTTGACCTGGTATTCAGGTCAAAGGGCAGAGCTGAAGGATCCACCCTCCTTTTGCTTCCTTTAAGTAGCCACTGAAAATTAAGCATTCCTGAAAAAAATCTCTGACATCTGCTTCTAAATAATATGTCCAGCATACAGAAGGCATTCAGTTATCTGCTCACTAACTGTTGCACATGTTCGTCTGAGGACATGGAGATGCTACAGGAATTTCACTCCCTTAATGCTTTCAGTTGAAATACATGAACTGCGCTCCCTGAATCCCCGTGGACGGTGGCACAACACAGAGACTCAACTTAGAAAATTCCCTGCTGAGAAACCAAAACCTGAGGGCGTGGAGATGAGGGCCCCTTTGCTTCTGGCCATAACTAAGGCGAAAAGTTAAAAACAAGGCAAAAATTATTGGGTTAATAATTGGTAGTTCCAACTTCTCCACCCGTTATAGTTAGTTTGAAGCACATAAAATGCTTATTATAGTCAACAGCTTTTGACTTACAAAATGTCAACTTCATATTGCTCAACCCAATAATCTGCAATAATTTTTATATATATCTCACCTCAACTGTACTCTGCAAAGGAAGACTGAATGGCAACAAACCTCCATTTCCCCTTTTGTAGGTTGCTGGGGGTTTTGGTTTGGTTTGGTTTTTAACTTTTGATCTTTGAGTTTGCCCAAGGGCAAGTTGTGAATTAGGCCTGCTCTTAGTTGAGCAAATTAGTATGTTGAATGTTGTAATGGTCTCTACAACATTTATTATGTTCAATAATTTTTCCTAATTCCATTTATTAGTACCGCTACAATAATGCAAACACAGCTGGTTCAACTACAGCTTGAATATTTCCCTGTAGATATACAGTACCTCTATTTTCACTTGTCTTAAAGTCTGTGGTATGTTTCTATTTTGCAAATCTTGAGATGAATTCGAAATAATTTATGGATGGGTATCCAAACCCAATACTTATGGCAAAAGGACTTCGGTTAGCAAACAGAAGATCCTGGTGAAGTGGATTAACGAACACTTCCAAGAAACTCCCTTTCTAACCCATCCACACATCCCACTCAGAGCCCATACAAACTCCTCGCCGTCCGTCAGCCCTGCTCCAGCCACCCCAACGTATGCAGCACTTACAAATAAGGACCCGACAGCTTCTTGCACGGAGGGGTTCAAGAAACGTTTGCAGTTGGATGACATTTCACATCCATGCACATGCATTTAATGCAAAGAATCCAAACCTTAAATATGTACAAGCATTTCTTTGTGGCAAGTTTTAAAATAATCGGATAATTTTTTCTATCAAAATCTGTCTTCCTAACGAAGCTCATTTTAGAGATGTATAATTATTAATGACACACGGTACATATGCTATTCACTTTAGAAAAGAACTGGGGAGCCAGTTCAATAAGGTCAAAAAGCTGAAACTGCAACCATTCTTCAGAACAATACAAACGTGAACAATAACACCTAGACTCATTTCTTCATAGCCTCTGACACCGAATGAAAGGACATTCTGGGACCGCATGAGAGAAGTATAAAGAGGTCACCAACACAAAAAAAGGTCAGAAAGCTTTCGACATTTTTTTCACCTTGACAAATTAAATGCCGTGCATCAGCCAAGGGCTGAAAGGCCCCATTGTTCTTCTCCAGTCACACCCAGATCAGGACCCCAGCCACATACGCACATCCCCGCATTAAACAGCAAGACTAAACAAACCGCTTCTCAGCTTCAAGTTTATCCATTCTTTTCCAGAGACGATTAACTAGTGCTTCTTGTTCTTGTTCCAAAGTATTTTCAAGGTCAATCTTCTCTCGTCTCAACTAGAGGAAGGAAAAATGTTTTACTCCAAACAGAAGGTCACAAACTCTGTTCATTAGATTTCTTGGTTGAACCATTAGGACCTCTTTTCTTGGAGAAAACTGCAAAGAAATTACCAAGTTTCTGGCACAGACACATTAAGTGCATCTAGTTCATAAACTTTGAGAAAAGCAAGACAGGTTCATGCTTTGATGTTGAAGCTTAGTTGTTGTCTGGTACATCGCTTGTTTTAGCATTTATTCCTCCTTAAAGAGGGTTTGGGGGTTCTGCTTACTAGTTAGTCATACCAAGACTTACCTGAGCTTGTCCCCGCCATCCTGCCCCGAGTCCTGCATGTAATTCAACATGGAACCAAAAAGATTATATCAGCATTTATATAAATCACTCACACCAACACCTGAAGACAATTCTACATATTGGTCAATGGGTGCACATAAATATGTCCCAAGATATAAAAATAGGCACAAAATGATAATGCCCAATTCACAATACTGGTTCCTTCTTGGAGGAAGGAAAGATGAGAGATTTGATTTGAGGGCAGGTATGCAGTTGTGGGGAAACCCCAAACTGCATTCTATTTCATAAAAAGAAGCAAACTTGGAAAAATTCATTTAATCAATCAATATTTAGAAATATGAAAATACTGAAAACACCACCAGACACTAGTTAATAAGGGAACCAAGAAGTCAGAAATGGCACTTACATTTTAATGGTATTAAGATAATCAATGAACCCTGACCAGTTTGGCTCAGCAGTTAGAGCATCTGCCCGAGGACTGAAGGATTGTGGGTTCAATTCCTGGCCCTGGTTGTGGTTGTGCAGAAGGCAACCAATGGTGTGTCTCTCTCACATTGATGCCCCCCACCCCCCTTCCATTCTATCTAAAAATTGGGAAAATATCCTCAGGTGAGGATTAACAACAAGAAAAAAGACAGTCAATGAAACAAACAAACAAAAAATTATCCTCAGACAAGGATTAACAACAAGAAAAAAGATAGTCAATGAAACAAATATATAGTTGGCAGAGGGTGAAAAAGATACGAAGAAAAAGAAGGCTAATAAAAGGGAAAGAAAATGCAATGATGAGTAGACTTGACAGTGACAAGTAGAGGGAATGTGTTATATCATTTTATGTACTTGTCTCTATATTAAGAGATTAATTTTAACAGGATTCTTCTTTTAAAAGAGAGGCTACGTTACTGCCCCTATGCTGTCCCTGCAACCAAGAGCAACTCACCTTTTCCATCACTAAGTCAACAAATTATTTTTGATTGCACAGCTGCAAAAATGCCAAAGTGGCAGATTTCACATTTCCTTAGGTCACAAAGGCAAGCTCCTCACTGATCCAAGATCCCTGTATATGCAGTAAAGTGAGACCAATACCATGTATAAAATTGCAGTCTTTTAAAGCAACCAAAGTAGATCTTATTCAACAAGTAAATGAGCCCAGATCACAGTCAGCTGAAATGCAGCTTCAAGTTCTTTTCTTTGCACAGGGGAAGGGGGAAGAAGGAAGGAGGAAGGCAGGTGTGGTGGGATGTCAGAAGCATTTTGTGCTGTGAAGCTGGGAGTAGGCTAATGCATGCGTGCTCCTCCGAATGTTGGACAATTCCTACCTGAAGCAATGAAAAATCCTGGAAAGCCCCATAGGACGCCTATACAACTTAGTGATTCTGTGCTGCCCACATTTTTTGGCCAAGCTTTGAAGTACAATTCAGAGCCATTAAAAAAAAATCTAAGGCATATTTGCCTGTTAAGGACCCTGTCTCTGCGTTTAACTAAAAGCATTAGAGCATGCACTTGGTAGAGAAATAACTCAAGCAAGACTTCCTTTTCTAGGAGAGAAACTATGCCCAATTCCTTTTCATTTTAGGGTAATCATGCATAATGCTAACCAACAACTCTGAAAATCAAAAGCAAGACAAAGCTCTCCTTTGTCTATGGATAACTTACTAGACATGTGCCTCCAGCAGGCACTCACCTGCTATAAGCCTCAACATCCCCATCTGCAAAATGAGAAGGTGGGCCCAGATGACTTCCGAGGCCCCTTCCAGGGCTCCCCATTCTATCATTCTCTGTCCATCTCAAGATTGCAGAGGTCTTCCGTTGGAACCAGCTCAGTTGCCGGTTTTTAGGGCTAGAAGCAGCGAGACGAATCATCTAAACCCGCCCTTTCATTTTGGGGCTGAAGGAACCACTGCCTGGCCTGAGAGATGACGGGGCTCGGGCAAAGCGATGCCACCAGGATAGGAATGGAAATCAGACACTATGGTGTCCAAAGAGCTGGGTCCCATCCCATCCAACCAACAAGTATAGAGGATCTTGAGGAGAAAGGAGGATTATTTGAGGTAAACTATGCCATGGTTTTTGAGCCTACCTCCTTTGCCACCAATTCTTGGGAGTAGCAGAGCAGGGGGCAGCTTCACGAGCCCGAGAGTATGAGGACACAGGTAAGAGAGCAGGACAAACAGGTTGAAGATGTACATGAATATCAGCTTCTCTTGGCACCAGCTATCAAATGCCTGCCTGCTTCAGCAAGCCAAGGCTCCTGGGGGTGAAACTGGGGATTGCTTTACCAATTTGCTCTCCTAATTCAATGCCACGAAGCAGGCCACACAGGAGGCCCCCGCTCAGCAGCTTAGACTTGGGTGTTTCATTACATAGGCTCCAGTGTTCTAGGAGTCCATACTAGTTCGCTTCAGCTTTAAAAATCTCGACTTGTCATCATCACTTACGAGTTCTCACGGACATTCAGGGGCAGAGAAGAGGAGATGATATTATTTATGATTATGATTAACTGTCCATTAAATTCTTTATCAGAGTTGCCCTCCTACCTCCTGCTCACTTAATTCCACAAACTATTTAGTCAGAGCTAAAGCGCAGACACCAGTTCTGCTGACTCAGACAGGAGCAGACTTTTCAGTGCTTATTACACTGTCTGGATATCAGGCAATCCTCAGATCTGGCAGAGTATGTCAAGTTCACAGGGTAGGTCAGAAACTCATGCTTGAATCAAAACATCACTCCAGTGACGCATTGCTCTCATTATGCTGGTCCTATCTGTAATATTCTCCCCTATTTCCTTCCTAATGATATCTGATGGCTTTCTTTTATTCATTTTATTTTTTTAAATACTCACCTGAGGATATTTTTCCATTCATCTTCAGACAGAGTAGGAGGGAGAGAGAGAGAGAGAGAAACAGCGACTGGTTGCCTCCTGCACAACTCTGACCAGGGATGGGGACAAACCACAACCGAGGTACGTGCCCTTGACCGGAATTGGTCCACGGGCTGACATTCTAACTGCTGAGCCAAACCAGCCAAGGCTCTGATGGTTTCTTAAAAAGTCAGTGTTCATGCAAAAGGCATCTGCTCATCCATCACCAAACATCAAGTTCTCAGGCTAACCCAAGCCCCCTCTTGAATGCTTATTCTGGGAGCACCAATGGATATAGCTGATTCGAAGAATACACCCATTTGAAAGGTCGCTTTGTAATTAAGTCCGTTCAATGGACTGCCAAGCCCTTTACTTCTCTGTAGATCTTCTCATTACAGGTTAATTAACAACAGACCAAGAGGTCTTATTATATTCCCAAAATAAATACAGAACTTCTTCAGTGGATAGACTTGGATACTAATGCAGCTGACATCTGCCTCCACAGCCCTCCCTGCCTGTCTTCTCAGTGGGCAGATACTGACCTCCACCAAGAACGCGGAAAAGATAGGGAACAGCTGGGAGATGGCTCCCAACACAATTAGACTGTCTCACTGTAGAATTTTCCCATTTTAAGAGAAGTGTGACACTGGGGCGGGGGTAGAGGGGGAGGACAGGAATTCTCGGCAAAAGAGCCCGATGAGAACGTTAGCCTAACCACTAGACTCAACCACAGAATTCTGGAAGGCTGTAGTGGATCTTTTCAATCTACAGTACTTTGAAAAGTTTCATTCTAACTACCTTATAATCATCATTTCTATGAGAACATCTGACTTAAAAAACAAATTTTGGGTTGGGGGGGCGAATTAAAAAGGGGAAGGGATTAAGATGCACAAATTGCCAGTTTTTAAAAACAGCCACGGATTCTGAAGGCAGCCCATCACAACTAATCCACGATAATGAAGAGAGGGCCCTGGCTACTGTGGCTCAGGTGGTGAGACCTGTGTCCTGAGCCCCAAGGGTCGTGGGTTTAATCCCCAGTTAGGGTGCATATAGAAGGTAACCAATCAACATTTCTCTTTCACATCAATGTTCTTTTCTCTCTCTCCCTCTCCCTTCCTCTCTCTAGATTCAATAAAAAAATACATCCTCAGGTGAGGATTATTAATTTAAAAAAAGAGAGAGGGACAAGCCCTTGGTGGAGCTACCATAGAAACCAAACACAGACACAAAGTTTGTTACAATATATAGTAAAAAGCACTTAGAATGATGATATAAGGAGTGTACCCGATGTTTAAAAGGAAGAAATAGAGTACTTTCTAGGACCTACATTAACCAAACTCATAGCTGGCTAGATTTTTTTTTTTTTTTTTAATAGAAAGAGGTAAATCCTAAGAAAATAAGTGGGTGATGGAGATTAACACAACAACCCTTTCAGGTTCGGTCATATCTGAAGGCCATTCATAGTTCAGCTGAATTTCCTATCAAGTTGTTACATAAACCATGGATGTTCAAAGTGGTTGACTCTGGAGGTATAGCAGAGTCATCTGGGAAAATAAAAAGCACAATATTCAGAAAACGACTAAATTAAAGTTAAAAAAATAAACCCAGTTTTTGCAATAGACTGAATGCTTACGTCCCCCCTGCCATGTTGAAGCCTAAATCCCCAACGTGATGGTTTGGGGGTGGGGCATCTGAAGGTCATTAGGGTTGGTTGATACCACAAGGGTGGGGCCCCCATCGTGGGCCTTGTGTCCTTTCATAAAGCCATGAGACTTCACAGCTCGCCGCTCTCTCATGGGAGGACGCGGGAGAAGCAGGCTGTCCGCCACCCTCAAGACGGCCGTC